AGGGGGCAGCCGGACACGGGAGGACAGTGGAGAAGTGAGCGAGGACAGGACCCCCAGAGGGGTCAGCCAGGGAGACAGCAACCGGCCGACCAAGCGGCGTGAGTGTGGTGCGGTCCCGAAAGAAGGAGCGAGAAGCCCCAGAGTCAAGTGTAAAGGTGAGGGAGGCCGAAGCCAACGCGGTACCTGAGAGCGCAGCCTCACCCGCACCTGAGGAAGCAGACTCACTAGCACCTAGAGCAGCAGCCGCACCTGTACCTGGAGCAGGAGACTCACTAGCACCCAGAGCAGCAGCCTCACCAGTAGCTAGAGCAGCAGGTCCTATACCTGGGTCAGGCGGGACGCACAGGTGACCGGCACGGTCAGAACTAGTAGGCAATGCATACATGGCAGTGAGAATAGCATCATAGTCAAGAGCATATATATCTACCCTCTGCCTAAGCAACTCCACCCAGTCGGGAAGCTCAGCCTCGTCGCCAAACACGGTACGCCAGGCGTCGCTCAGACGGGCGAAGCAGCGGGACTGTGTATGACTACGTGTCCCACAAGGCTGACCAGTCCGAGTACCAGTGCGAATCACGTAAGAGCAGCGAACAGCACTGAGAGACCCTCCACTCTGAGCGTACCACTCACAAAGCTGGCGAGGCGTGAGAGACACGCGAGAGGGTCGCGGGAGCTGCATCTGGCCGCCACCACGAGTAGAAGCAGCAGATGTGGAAGTAGGAGTAGCGTCGCCACCCCTACAGCCCCAACCAGCGTACCACTCACGCAGCTGCTGGGGCGTGAGGGACTCACGCAGGCGTCGCTGGGGCTGCATCTGGCTCCGCAAGTAGAAGCAGGAGCAGGACTAGCAGCAGGAAGGCAGGCAGCCAGGCAAGCCAAAAGGCAGGCAGGCAGGCAAGCAGGCGACGTGAGCGTGCTAGCAGGGCAAGAGCTCACCAGTGGTGGGAAGAGTAGGCTCGGCGACTCAGCGGCTCGGCAGCTCGGCGGCTCGGCGGCTCGGGCGACTCGGGCGGCTCGGCGGCAAGGCGGCTCGGCAGCAACTGCAGCTCAGCAGCTCGGTGACTCGGCGGCTCGGCGGCAGGGCGGCTCGGCAGCAACTGCAGCTCAGCAGCTCAGCGACCCGGCGGCTCGGCGGCAGGGCGGCTCGGCTGCTGGGCGGCTCGGGTGCAGGGCGGCTCGGCGGTGGGGCGGCTCGGCTGCTGCAGGTGAGCGATGAAGGAGGAGGAGAAGCAGGGGAGGCCACACACCTGCCACCCCTCTGCTGGCCTCTCAGGTCGCCTCGACAGGCGACGGGAAAAGGGGGGGTGGGTGGTGGGGGCCGGTAGGTGCAGCGGCGGGGCCAGCAGGTGCAGTTGCGGGGCCGGTAGAAGGGGACGGCAGGAGCCGTCAGGAGGGGACGGCGGGGCCGTCAGGAAGGGACGGCGGGGCCGTCACGACGGGACGGCGGGGCCGTCAGGAGGCGACCGGGCCGCGACGGGGGCAGGCGGCGGGGCCGCGTAAGGGCCTGGGCGGGGCCGCGACAGAGCCGTCGGCGGGGCCGCGTGAAAGCCGGGGCGGGGCCGCGTAGAAGCCGGGGCGGGGCCGCGCGAGAGCAGGCGGCGGGGCCGCGAAGGAGCCGGGGCGGGGCCGCGTGAGAGCAGGCGGCGGGGCCGCGTAAGGGCCTGGGCGGGGCCGCGACAAAGCCGTCGGCGGGGCCGCGTGAAAGCCGGGGCGGGGCCGCGTAGAAGCCGGGGCGGGGCCGCGCGAGAGCAGGCGGCGGGGCCGCGAAGGAGCCGGGGCGGGGCCGCGTGAGAGCAGGCGGCGGGGCCGCGTAAAGGCCGGGGCGGGGCCGCGACAGAGCCTGCTGCGGGGCCGCGTGAGAGCCGGCGACGGGGCCGCGTAAGGGCCGGCGGCGGGGCCCCGTCAGAGAGGGCGGCGGGGCCGCGTCAGTGAAAGCGGCGGGGCCGCAGGGAAAATGACGACCCGAGGGGTCGCTAAAAAAAATCGCGCCTCGGGGGGCGCTTCGGTGGGCCCAAAAAAACGGTCCGTAGAAAGACCCGCTCTATACCATGTGAGAATAAGCGAACAGGAATGAATGAACTAGCAGTGAAATGAGTACAAGTAGGAAATCCTAGAATTGTGTACCCCCTATAGGCTAACCCACTGTAGCCTACACAAGCAGAACATATATAATGTTTGACACTGACCTCGGTGAACCGCAGCACTACCTTGGCCTGCAAATCACCAGGGACATAGCCGCTCGCACCATCACACTGACCCGGTCAGACATGGTGCAGCAGGTCCTTCGGCGGTTCGAGTTCCAGTTCTCCACCACCCAGCCTACTCCTCTTGCTGTTGACCACAGACTTACTGGCCCCTTTTCCAACGAGACCTTTGAGTCTAATAGTCCCTATGCAGAGCTTGTGGGCTGCCTCATGTATCTGATGACTTGTACTCGACCGGACCTCGCCTTTCCCCTCAGCGTCCTCTCCCGTTTTGTTGCGACTGGGAGACACCGTCA